AGATTTTAACACTCCACTGTCTATATTAGACAGATCAACAAGACAGAAAATTAACAATGATATCCAGGATTTGAACTCAGCTCTGGACCAAGCAGCCATAATAGACATATACAGAACTCTCTAACCCAAATCAATAGAATATACATTCTTCTCAACACCACATTGCACTTATTCTAAAATAGGCCACATAATTCGAAGAAAAACATTTCTCAGCAAATGCAAAGAACCGAATTCATAACAGTCTCTCAGACCACAGTGCAATAAAATTAGAACTCAGGATTAAGAAACTCACTCAAAATTGCACAGCTACATGGAAACTGAACAATGTACTCCTGGATGACTACTGGGTAAATAATGAAATTAAAACAGAAATAAAGATGTTCTTTGAAACCAATGAGAACAAAGACATAATGGTCCGGAAACTCTGGGACACAGCTAAAACAGTATGTAGAGGGAAATTTATAACACTAACTACCCACAAGTGAAAGCAGGAAAGATCTAAAATCAACACCCTAACATCACAATTCAAAGAACTAGAGAAGCAAGAACAAACAAATTCAAAACCTAGCAGAAGAGAAGATATAACTAAGATCAGAGCAGAACTGAAGGAGGCAGTGACACAAAAAAAAACCTTCAAAAAAAATCAGTGAATCCAGGAGCTGGGTTTGAAAGGATCAACAAAACTGATAGACCACTAGCCAGACTAATAAAGAAAAAAGAATCAAATAGACACAATAAAAAATGATACCAGACTTCAAACTATACTACATGGCTATAGTAATCAAAACAGCATGGTACTGGTACCAAAACAGAGATATAGACCAACGGAACAGAAGAGAGGCCTTGGAGGCAACACAACATATCTACAACAATCCAATCTTTCACAAACCTGACAAAAACAAGCAATTGGGAAAGGATTCCCTGTTTAATAAATCGTGTTGGGGAAAACTGGCTAGCCATGTGCAGAAAGCAGAAACTGGACCCCTTCCTGACACCTTACACTAAAATTAACTCCAGATGGATTAAAGACTTAAACATAAGACCGAACACAATAAAAACCTTAGAAGAAAATCTAGGCAAAACCATTCAGGACACAGGCGTAGGCAAGGACTTCATGACCAAAACACCAAAAGCATTGGCAACAAAAGCCAAAATAGACAAATGGGACCTAATCAAACTCCACAGCTTCTGCACAGCAAAATAAACAGTATTAGAGTGAATCGGCAACCAACAGAACGGGAAAAAATATTTTGCAGTTTACCCATCTGACAAAGGGCTGATATCCAGAATTTACAAAGAACTAAAACAGATTTACAAGAAAAAAACAAACAAGCCCATTCAAAAGTGGGTGAAGGATATGAACACTTTACAAAAGAAGACATACATGAGGCCAACAAACATATGAAAAAATGCTCATCATCACTGGTCATTAGAGAAATGCAAATCAAAACTACATTGAGATACCATCTCACGCCAGTTAGAATGATCATTAAAAAATCTGGAGACAACAGATGCTGGAGAGGATGTGGAAAAATAGGAACACTTTTACACTGTTGGTGGGAGTGCAAATTAGTTCAACCATTGTGGAAGACAGTGTGGTGATTCCTCAAGGACCTAGAAACAGAAATTCCATTTGACCCGACAATCCCATTACTGGGTATATATCCAAAGGATTATAAATTGTTCTGCTATAAGGACACATGCACACGAATGTTCATTGCAGCACAGTTTAAAATAGCAAAGACCTGGAACCAACTGAAATGCTCATCGATGATAGACTGGACAGGGAAAATGTGGCAGATATACACCATGGAATATTATGCAGCCATCAAAAACGATGAGTTTGTGTCCTTTGTAGGGACATGGATGAACCTGGAAACCATCATTCTCAGCAAACTGACACAAGAGCCGAAAATCAAACACTGCATGTTCTCACTCATATGCAGGTGTTGAACAATGAGAACACATGGACACAGGGAGGGGAGCACTACACACTGGGGTCTGTTGGGGGGAAATAGGGGAGGGAAAGGTGGGGGTGGGGAGTTGGGGAGAGATAGCATGGGGAGAAATGCCAGATATAGGTGAAGGGGAGGAAGGTAGCAAATAACACTGCCACGTGTGTACCTATGCAACAATCTTACATGTTCTTCACATGTACCCCAAAACCTAAAATGCAATAAAAAAAATGATACAGGGGATATCACCACCACAGAAATACAAACTACCATCAGAGAGTACTATAAACACCTCTACACAAATAAATTAGAAAATCTAGAATTAATGGATAAATTCCTGGACACATACATGTTCCCAAGATTGAACCAGGAAGAAGTCAAATCCCTGAACAGACCAATAACAAGTTCTGAAATTGAGGCAGTAATTAATAGCCCACCAATCAAAAAAAGTCCAGGCCCAGAAGAATTCATAGCCAAATTCTACCAGAGGTACAAAGAGGAGCTTGCACCATTTAGAAAAAGAGGGACTCTTCCCTAACTCATTTTATGAGGCCAACATCATTCCGATACCAAAACCTGGCAGAGACACAACAAAAAAAAATTTCAAGCCAATATCCCTGATGAACATCAATGCAAAAATCCTCAAAAAATATGACAAACTGAATCCAGCAGCACATCAAAAAGTTCATCCACCATGATCAAGTTGCCTTCATCTCTGGAATGCAAGGTTGGGCAACATAACGCAAATCAAGAAATGTAACCCATCACATAAACAAAACCAATGACAAAAACCATGATTATCTCAGTAGATGAAAAAAAGGCCTTTGACAAAATTCAACAGCGCTTTATGCCAAAAACTCTCAATAAACTAGGTAGTGATGCAATGTATCTCAAAATAATAAGAGCTATTAACAAACCTACAGCCAATACCATGCTGAATGGGCAGAAACTGGAAGCATTCCCTTTGAAAACCAGTACAAAACAAGGATGCCCTCTCTCACCCCTCCTATTCATCACAGTATTAAAAGTTCTGGCCAGGGCAATGAGGCAAGAGAAAGAAATAAAGGGCATTAAATTAGGAAAAGAGGGAGTCTAATTGTCTCTGTCTGCAGATGACATGATTGTGTATTTAGAAAACCCCATCTTCTCAGCGAAAATTTCCTTAAGCTGATAAGCAACTTCAGTAAAGTCTCAGGATACAAAATCAATGTGCCAAAATCACAAGCAGTCCTATACACCAATAACAGACAAACAGATATCCAAATCATGAGTGAACTCCCATTCGTAACTGCTACGAAGAAAATGAAGTAACTAGGAATACAACTTACAAGGGATGTGAAGAACCTCTTCAAGGAGAACTACAAACCACTGCTCAAGGAAGTAAGAGAGGATACAAATGAATGGAAAAACATTCCACGTCGCTCATGGATAGGAAGAATCAGTATTGTGAAAATGGACACACTGCCCAAAGTAATTTATAGATTCAATGCTATCCCCATCAAGCTACCACTGACGTTTTTCACAGAATTGGAAAAAACTACTTTAAATTTCATCAGAACCAAAAAAGAGTCCACATAGCCAAGACAATCCTAAGCAAAAACAACAAAGCTGGAGGCATCATGCCATCTGATTTCATATTACACTACAAGACTACAGTAACCAAAACAGCATGGTACTGGTAACAAAACAGATATATAGACCAATGGAACAGAACAGAGGCCTCAGAAATAATGCCATACATCTGCAACCACCTGATCTTTGTCAAACCTGACAAAAACAACCAATGGGGAAAGAGTCTCTAATTAATAAATGGTGTTGGGAAAACTGACTCGCCGTAGGCAGAAAGCTGAAACTGGATCCCTTCTTTACACCTTACACAGAAATTAACTCAAGATGGATTGAAGACTTAAATGTAAAATCTAAAACCATAAAAACCCTAGAAGAAAACCTAGGCAATACCATTCATGACATAGGTATGGGCATAGACTTCACGATTAAAACACCAAAAGCAATGGCAACAAAAGCCAAAATTGACAAATGGAATCTAATTAAGCTAAAGAGCTTCTGCAAACAAAAGAAACTATTATCAGACTGAACAGGCAGCCTACAAAATGGGAGAAAATTTTTGCAGTCTATCCATCTGACAATGGGCTAACATCCAGAATCTATAAAGAACAAACAAATTTACAAGAAAAGAAACAACCCATCAAAAAGTGGGCAAAAGATATGAACAGACATTTTTCAAAAGAAGACATTCATGCAGCTAACAAACATATGCAAAAAGGCTCATCATCACTGGTCATTAGAGACATGTAAATCAAAACCACAATGAGATACCTTCTCATACCAGTTAGAATGGCGATCATTAAAAAGTCAGGAAACAACAGATGCTGGAGAGGGTATGGAGAAATAGGAGTGCTTTTACACTGTTAGTGGAAGTGTAAATTAGCTCAACCACTGTGGAAGACAGTGTAGTAATTTCTCAAGGATCTAGAAATAGAAATATCATTTGACCCAGCAATCCCTTTAATGAGTTTATACCCAAAGGATTATAAAATCCCTCTACTATAAAAACACATGCACACATATGTTTATTGTGGTACTGTTCACAATTGCAAAGACTTGGAACCAACCCAAATACCCATCAATGATAGACTGGATAAAGAAAATTTGACACATATACACCATGAAATACTATGCAGCCATAAAAAAAGGATGAGCTCATGTCCTTTGCAGGGACATGAATGAAGCTGGAAGCCATAATTCTCAGCAAACTAACACAAGAACAGGAAGCCAAAGACCACATGTTCTCATTCATTAGCAGGAGTTGAACAATGAGAACACACTGACACAGGGAAGGGAACATCACACACTGGAGCCTGTCAGGGGGTTGGAGGCTAGGGGAGGGATAGCATTAGGAGAAACACCTAATATAGAGAACTGGTTGATGAGAGCAGCAAACCACCATGGCACATATATGCCTATGTATATACAAACCTGCACATTCTGCACATGTAACTCAAAACTTAGAGTATAATTAAAAAAGAAATTCATAATTGTTTCTAGTAAATTAACAAACCTGTGATTATTGGTATTACAGGCCATATAACTATTATTGTATGGTTTAAAAACGAACTGCTCAAGTATTTTTGCATTGTTACCAGAATTGAAATGATTTTAAAAACTTATGTCCATGAGAAGCAGAAATTATTTATTTCATATCTTCTGTGTCAAATACTAGCAGACACAGATCATTCTTTTTAGGTGCCTTTTTGGTATTAACACTAGGGTATCATTGAGTTCACATCTATCTTTCCATTTTTAAGCACATAATAGCATTTACTGCTCTAGCAAAACACATTATTAAATTTTATTTTCAGAACTAGAGTTGCTAATAAGAAATAATAATGTATGAAAATATAGAAGGAGAGAAAGAGAGATAAGAAGTGGGGACAGTGGAGAGACTACATCATCATAGACCATATCCTGAATTCTGCAAGAAAAAGTGTAAATAAATAGGAACATGGGGAAAGCACAATACAACTCAAAAAGGCAAATAGCTTATAGGGAACACTATGAGTACAACATTTCTGTTACTTTCTATACCCCTTAAACAATGAGATGACAACCATATCATTTAAGCAAAGCTGTACTAATATAAGAACACAACATTTTCTTTTCCTCTTAGATGTTTCTGATGAGAAATGAACACTGCTTTTGGACACAGTTTGTGTAGCCTCTAATCACAGTATTGAAATGTACTTTAATTATTTACCCTTTAAAATTAGAATGATTAAACGAAATAGATATTTTTATATAGTTTATCTATCTGTTTGTTTGCCTTATGTTTAAAAGTTGGCCAGAATTTGAAACTCATATAATCATCTTTAGACTCTTCTATCTGCCCCAGATGTGGTTTTCAATTTTTGCACAAATACATTAAAAGGACTTTTTCTACCTTGGACTTGACTGCTCAGAGTTGATGCCCTCTAAATGGAAAGCCAACGGTGGCCAAAGGTGGCAGAGCAGCATGCCTAATAAACAATACTGATCAGACATAAAATATTAAGTTAATGTTCTCAGGCCAGTTTTTTTTCCATATAATATGCATAAGATAGTAATGGGCATCTGTTAAATAGATCCATGAATATTATCAGATTATTCTCTTTTTCCCTCAAGTGTACTCTGCCCACCCTCCCAATTCCATATGTCCTTGGTCCCATTCTCCCTTACCTGCTCTTATTTTAACATCTTCACTGCCCCTTCACCACTGCATCATCCAATCAGTCACAAGAACTGCATCATCAAGTTCACATTCTCTTAAAAAAATAGAACCCTTTATTGTGTTCTTTTTATTAAGTTTTTATTCTGTTTCTTAAAAGGACAAACTGTGTTCTCAAGGCAGACACTATATTATGTTGAAATGATCTATACCTGTGTTTTGCCCTTTCCAAATTTCATACTCCTTGAGCAAGGACTCAGCTCTGTTGATTTTTGGATATCCAGTAGCCAGAAAATTTCCTCATTACACATCAGATGCCCAATAAACAGTATGTGAACTAAACTGAATCTATCACCCACTTATCTCTTATTATTTTGAAATATGACTTCTGTTCTCTTCTCCTGAGGTCAACCAAATAACCCTTTCTCTTCTCTTAGATGCTTCAACCTGTTGGCAGCATTTAACAGTGCAAAAGCATAGGCTTTGGAATCAAACAGCTCAGCTACTTGCTACTTGGTGACTTTGGACATGTAACCTAACCCCTCTGAAAACCAATTTCTTCCTTTGTAAAATTAGGGTAAGAATATCTCTCTAATAGAATGCATGAAAAGATTAAATAACATTGTGTACATATGGATCTGGATATATAGTTGATATTCAATGTATATTAGTTCTTTGCTCCTTCCTCTTCTACCCTTCCTTCTCTACAACACCACAGTCTATGTTCCACCTTCCTAGTTATTACACTTCTCAGGCTCCTCCATTACTATTCTAGTAGAGATTCCAAGGATCTGTCATTCCTTGTTCTTTCATTATTTACATTATTTCCCTCAATAATCTCATCTGATCTTCCAATTTAACTACTGCTTTTAGTCCCTACTTAGTTAACTACAAACATCTCTCCAGCCTCTCTCATGGTCCCCCACAGTAGGCTAGTCATCTGCACAATGCTCCTAAGTTCAAGTACTAAATTTCCCACTCTCCTGCCTCCACTCTCCCAATATGCTTATCCCACCCCCGGCAAAACAGCCCTGGCCTCCTAACTCCCCTGACCAAATGCTTTCAGTAGCTCTAACAGTCTTCAATGAAAGCTGAATACTTGAGTTTGGTATTCAAAAGTCTCCATAGCCTAGTCTTTATTTGCTACTTCAACCATATTTTCCATGACTCTCACAGAGTCACCTTATGCTTCAACCAAATTTTCAGTACTTCATTAATGATTCCTAATATTACTTACCCCATCTCCTTACCCTAAGGCTTCTCGAATGTCCACATCCCAGTTCCCACCTTTTTCAATCCTAGGTAACCCACTAGGCCCAACGGTAATGTCCCCTCTCCATGAAGACTTCCTTGGATTCCACAGCTAAGAGCTATCTTTCCTTCTTCTAAGTACCAAGACAGTTCAGCAGTCTCTCTCGAGTAGTCATTGTCTGCAAAATAATAGCTATTCATATCTATTTATTTTACAGCCTGCTAGCCTGCACATCCTTCCCCCATTCCCAATGCTTTTTACCCCCTCCCTATTTCCACTTACCTCCATAACCTGGAGAAGAACTTAAAGAGGCTTTAAAAAGCCAGACAAACCAGTATATTAAATCAGAAAGTTAAATGTATATGCATAATCAATTTAATAAACCTTCCAGGGAATAGCTGAATGCACCCAGAAGAGAACATTGTTCCTATGTGCCCAAGGCTATGAGAGATACAACCCTAGGATCTCATCTGTGTTCTGAGTGGTAAAGATTACTGGAAATCTGACCGCCAGATAACTGGAGTGTTACTGTACAGCCAACGCTTCTTGCCAAAGATTTATAATTAACAACAGAATCAGCTGGCATTACTAAACTATTTTTTGTTTCTTTAATCTCCTTTTCCTCCCTTTTGTTTTCTTCTTCCCTGTTTGTGACTGATAGAGCCAGATGATCAATAATCTTTCTTTCACCAACTCTGATCATCATCTTTGCTACTGCCTGGATGCAACTATTCAGTTTAATACATTAATCCTTTGGTTGAAATTCTTAAACCACAATTCTTTATTAAAGGACCATCTTGGCATCCATGTGCTGGTAGCAGCTTGTCTGGTGGCTCAAAAAAATAAATCTGAATGAAGCATCTCTTTCCCCCAAAAGATCTGAACCGAAGAAAAAGAAAGATAGAGAAAGATTTCAGCTCATAGACACAATAAAATATATGGAAAGAAAATTGAATCTTATTACATAAATTAAAGAACAGGAAAGTTTCACCTTATAATTACAATTAGATATCAACATGCCATTTAATGACAAAGTGCTGAGAAATACTGTGGCATTTTATTGAATCTTACTCTCATTATTATTCCAATGAGAAATAGAACACACACTGTACTGGTTAGCAGACCGAACCTTTGTACGATGCTGTAACCTTTGGTGGAGCCCAGTGATTTTTGTTGCTTTTCAGAAAGATATTAAAGTGACAATGTGGCAGGCCATTTTTTCCACCACACACACTAAAACTAGTGTGCATGCAGCAGAACCCTGCCAAAGCACGTTGCATTCATACAAAGATCCATACAGATCTTAATCATAAAATAATCCATTCTGTACTCTGTTTTTATGACATTTATATGAATCTGGCCACAGCCTCATCAAGCAGTTCACAGAGGAAAATTGTTCTATTTATGTGGTTGAGACAGGGTGGACTTGATTTTCAAGCAAAGAGAGAAAGAAAGAAATGCCTAATTTTTGTAGTCACAAATCTGGAACTCAAAAGGACTATTTTACACCATTTTGTAACTATATTTGTAACAGAGAATCCAAAGAGATGAGCTTCTCTTTGTCTGTCCCCTGTCAGTAGTAAAGTCATATATCGATATTTCTGAAACTTAGAGGCTGAGTGAAGACACCTGGAAATAGTTTTCTCCTTTTCTATTCAGTTGCAAAAGGCAAAAAAAAAAAAAAAAGAAGAAGAAGAATGTGTGGGTAAAAGTAGAAAGTAAACTTTCCAATGTGCATCTGCTTTAATTTATTCTTGCCTCTGCATTTTAAGAACCAATAATTTTTCAATTAATTTCCCCAACTTTTCCTCTTTACTTCTTTATATATCTCAAATGCATACACACACACAAGTCACCTCAGAAAATTTGTTCAGACTCATCTGCCCTTTCTTTCAGGCGTGTGCTGATGGCAAAAATGAGTCTATGTGCTTGCTTAACTCTAAGCAATAATAGTTATCTGGACTCTATTAAGGCACATGAAAATGAAGACAACATTTTATTTCCTCTAACTTCTCTGAGAAAGCTAAATTTTGGGGTAAACTATGTGAAATAGTAATCTGGGCAAAAATACCTCCCTGGTATGCTGACAATAATATTTCACCCCTTTATACTATTTTTGCTCATCGATACTAGGCTACAATACTCCCGCATGCACTTTAAGTTTTATGTCATCACTTACAGCTCTCTTAGATGCTGCAGCCTTTTTTCCTCAAGGTCGGAAACTAGACTCTGATGATATAAATCCTGCATTCATGACAAAGATATGGGTTCAAGTTTCCTGGTTCCTTTAAAGATACCATTATTATTTGAGTCTGAAATAACTACAGAAGATCCAGGATCATGTAGAAAAATCAGACACCGTGTGGCCCCAGGAGCCACATCAAATGTGGACGTTTTTGCACATGCTTCATCAGAAAATAAAACCAGTTTCCTTTTCCCTTTCAAATAATAAAGAACAATCCTCCCTTCTTTTAGAACGAAGAGGGGAAAAAGAGGAAATGCCAATAAGTTGAACACTGTTGTAAGAAACTGCATTAATGTGAATAATTATGTAATGATTGCTTCTAATTAAATGAGGATAATGTTCAGGGTGTTCTTTTTCCTTTTGTTCAGAAACCACTGGTATTTAGGTAATATGCTATACATTGCTTTCTTTCTGTAGCCACCCCTCCCCTAAATAAATGACAACATAAATAGACACATAAACTCCATATGAATCATTAGTGTGTGAGATACTGTTACCCTGAGGCTGCTGTAATTCACATATAGCCCCTTCCTTCTATTTCAAATCTTTAAAATATTTTCTTTTCAAATACTTATAAAAGCACGTATGGTTGAAATAAAAATAAAGCACATACAGATGATATTTTTAAGCACAGCATTTTCATACCAGAAGGAAAGTAGTCAGGCATGTTCTGTTTCTCTGGGTCCAGTACACATTTAGGGAAAATAAGAGCTTAAAAGTGATGAGGACCAAGAAGAGATTGTAGAACTACTTTAAAGTATTGCAACTGTTGTTTAGAAAAGAAATGACATCTTTTTTGCGGTCCTTTTTCCTAACATGAAAGTTTATGACAGCATGTGCATTTCATTGTTAAAAGCGTGTATGTTTCACATGTAACCACTATGTGAGGATGAGAGGTTGTAGACAAATCTCAACCATCTGAAACTATGTTATGATTAAAAAAAAATCCCCTTTTTCAGAAAAAAAGTACTGAAAAGTTTGACCTGTTTATTAATATCAATGTAATCTTACGCTTAAGCCAATCCTAAGTTATAGGAAATGATCTTCAAGGTAAAGACTGCCATAAATCCTGAAAATCTAACCTGAAAGCCCATTTTCTAAAGATAAAGAACTGCCAAGTTAGCATTAATAGCCCCTCCTACTGCAAGTCTTTTCCAAACTTTTAAGATGTCAGCTTTCTAATGAAAGTTAAGACAAATCGTAACAGCAAAGCTGAGAGTTCAGCATGCAACAAGGAGGTTAAGCGCATACCTGGCTCATGTGTGTGTCCTGCAGAACAATGAGAAAATCCTACAGGAATCTGTGAGGGTAGCAAGAAAGCTTATTAATGTTTTTTTACCAATCTGGCAGATATCCATCTCCCTAAAGTGTGCTTTCCTTGACAACATTGGATTTAAAGGAGTGACATCTTTTCCATTTGAAAAATATATGTCAGATATGTCTTTACCAACACATGTAACCAGACATAATAAAGACAAAAGAGTGCAAAGTAGGTGCCAGGTTAAAAGAAGAGCCCCAAGGCTGCATTTACAAGTGAAGCTCACGCACTGAATACATCTTGTTCAAAATGTAGCAGAGAGAATTTTCCTGGAACAAGAAGCAATTGCACAATGGAGACGTGTCATAATGTACATTTAAGTTATATGATCACAACCATACATAACTTGGACAAAAAGATAAATAAGTAAACAGAAATAGATCTATGTATGTACCAAGGCAATTTTGCCGATATTTCTACAGAATAAGCCTGAAATAAGGGACATGAAGCCACTCTTCATTCAGTCAGTCCCAGTTCTCACATACCTTTCATATATTAAACAGCTTCCAGCACTGAGGATGAGTCTAGTGTATAGAGATAACCATTCTTTTCAACCACATGACCCTGAAGACAGACTACTTTATTTATATTAAAGCAAAAAACACCCATCTATTCCAATTTTGGAAGAAAACCATGCTGCTTTGGACTTATTAAACGAAATAGAATCCATGGTCCCCAATGAGGCAGCTTTCTAAGGAAGGATTCTTAAGGTAATTTTGTCTAAATACAATTTTCTTCTTCTATCCAGACTTTAGAAATTAGGTCTTAGCCATATATAATATAAGTGCATCTATACAACTTTTTTTTTACACAAACATTTAACATTGCCAAGAGAACCGATCCCTGGTACCCATTAAAGAAACCAATTGGCAAACAAAAAGACTTTAATGAGTATCTACAGTATGCCAAGCTAGATGCTATGGGCAATAAAAGAAAACTAAGTATATGATATCAATCCTCAAGTAATTAAAAGATGATGCATGAATAAAATTGCAGAGACCAGACCAAGATTTTTTAGTACATAACAATCATGAATCTTTCTATTCCATGAATCAAATTCTAGAAGGATGAAAGGAAAAACATTATGAGGGTGATATGAAATAATCTGAGAAGAATTTATGTGGGTGGTGCTTGAGATGAATATTTAAATTGGTGGCATGGATTACATAGAATGAATGAAGCTCTAGGTTAAAGTTACTGCTGTCTGGTTAAATAACCAACGAGCACGAAATAGACAATCCTACCTCAACAATTTTTAGCACCCAAATAATGATTTTTAAAAAGCAGAGTGACATATTCAAATAGAACAAATTGGATGTCCATTATGTTTTAGAATTCAAACAGGACATTTTGAAAATGACATTAGAATAAACTCTAGAAGGCTTTCAGATAAACCATTGGTTTGGCACTTTGCATACAGTAGTCCTCGAATTTTTCAGGTGAATTGGGTTCTAGTCCAACCTGAACACAAGGAAAGGATTTTTGATCACAGTGCAAAGATTGCAGTTCAACTTAGAAGTTTTCAAGCAGATCAAGGTTACACATTTGTATATACTATGAAAATCTCATAAGAAGCCAAAGATCCTAACAGAATATCCAAAGCAACTACTAATTCCTATTACATTGAAAGGAAACTCAGGAATGAATAAAACACACATAAAAACAACCACATTGTGAGGTTTTTTTCATTCTGAAACAAAACAAAAATTATGATCAAATTGATGATCTACATAAGAAGTTTGGTCATAGAACAATCAACAATACTTTTTTATTCTTTTTTTAGAAACACGTATTTGTCATTTATATTAATATATCAATGAATACACTCAACTTCACATTGTTACAGATGTAAGTTAGTCCAAGCCCTATTAACATGAACATACAGAACTTGGAAAACAGCATAATTAACTAATTCACTAATTTGGGATAACTATGTTTATCCCCCCCCACCAAAAAAAAACAAAAACTAAACAGAAGAAACTCAGCAAACAACAATTGAAGAATCTCTAGTTGTTGTGAACTAGCAATATCTGGGAAGCAACAGGCCATTAGCAATGTTGCAGCACATAGAAATGAAGGTATTTTTTTTGATCAAAGCTACCATGTTATCCAAAAGGCAAAGAGACAGACCTGTAAACTGAAAACTCTACAAACAGCAGCAAATCACAGAAAGTCTACAGAAGCAAATAGTCACGCAAGGATTGATTGCAGGAGCCTCCAACTCTCTTTCTGGGATTAATGCCCGTAAAGATAGAAACACCATCATCAGTGTCATCTTACAAACAAAGGACCACGGTATAGAGAGAACAATATTAATTATTGTCAAAATAACTTGTGCACTCAGCGATTTCAATAGGAACAATCAGTTTAAGTGGCAGTGGCAACTTCTCAACATAAAACACACTTGCTGCAATCCAAACTAGATTTAAAGAGAGGTGAGCAACTGCCTTAGTTGTTTAATCTGGTTATATTTGAGCTAAAGTAGTTCACATTTTTAGAATGAACAACTCAAAGGCGTAATTGTTTTTGTCATCTGCACAGCAATTTTACTCCTGAATGCATTGTTTTAGGCAGGAATTAATAAAAATTGCATGCGCTTCAGGTGCTGGGTAGATCACCCTCTTCCACATAGCCCAGCCTGAAGCTGTGAATGCTCCTTTTCTTATTATCAGTTAATAATTCTCTCTCATTGAGGCAAATTAGGAACTTGACTGTGTTAGAGAGTCCAGAACACTGCTAGAGGCAAAAGGGGGCTAAATGGCAGAAATTCCTCTCTGAGCAAGATGCATGAAGCACGACATTGTGTCCACCACAAAAGCCGCTCTGTATTTTTGATCCTTTCTAATTTAATTAGCCCAAGAGGTAGCGCATTAATTTGCCAAGAATTCTTCTGATGCGAAAGCTGCCCTTATTGCAGTGAAGGGAAAAAATAACCTGCGTGCTACAGTGGCATGCCAGTAATGAAAGGGGGTTATTTTTGTGTTACAAATGGCATTGCAGGGTTACAAGAGACCTTTAAACCTTTTTATCTCTGGTTAGGTCATATGTAACACAGTGCAACACAAAGCACTAATTAACCAATTCTGGTCCAGAAACCTTTTAGAACACTTAAGAGAGTTACCCAGTTAGAACCCAGGTCAAATGCATTGCTTTGTTTTGCATTTAAAAACTGAAAACACCTTCTGGTGTGTATATTAAAAAATAGAGCAAAAAAATTATCAATCGAGAGTTCAGTTACTCTATGGACCCAGCACATGAGACATTTATTCTGGTCTTTGTTTTCTTTCTGTTTAATGATATTCTTTATGTGGGCAAGCTGGAGCCTTGAAGTCCCTTAGAAGGTCTCTTGGCTCTTTATGCTGTATTTGTTTGGTAAATTGTCTCCATGTTAATCTTCTTCATCAAATACTTGGAGTCAGTTTTGAAAACCTTTGATCAGATCTACCACCACCACACTTCTTCCTTGCCATGTGCTTCTGATATGTGCTCATGCACTCAAATGGGTCATTTACTCATTAAAGAACGAGAAACATGCATGCTACCATGATAAGTCCTCCCCAATACTTTGAACTGTTAATTAAGCCTATGTAATCATGTCTCCTGTTTGCAGAACTATTTCTTTTCTAGAAATTACAGGATCCCATTTAGGGACTTTCAACACCCTTGTCGTTTTCCCTCATCACTTTCCAACCCTGTTGCCTGAATGTGGCTTGTTAAAACACTCAGGAAAACCTGAGGATTATTACATTTTACATATAATTCTCCTGTGCCCTTAATGAAAACCAGTGGAAGACAATGGCTTTAAAGTAAAGCACTGATATTTTCCTTCCTCCCTGCTTCTGGCTAGAAATCTGTGAATTAGGGAGTGGTGGCACTTAAGAGTATTTTTGGCTATGCATTATGAATAACCAGAGTTACCACAAGTAGCCTTTTATGGAATAGTGTAAGATTTAGTAGCCAAGCTGAGAAGAGGAAATTAGCATTATCCAGAGGTAGCGCTGGATGGAACCAGGCAGGAAGGTGTGACCAGGTTGAGAGGGCAGAGAAAAGAGGAAAGAAGAACATCTGGGAAAAGAGAAGGATCGTTCACAAAAGCAACTTTGTGGGCAAGAGGTTTTTAAATAGTGAGGAAAAAAGTAACAGTGATTGGGCATTAATTGCAAGGGAAAGATGGGGTTGGAGGGAGAATTAAATAAGAATATCTTAGTCTATCAATGTTTTCTCATGGACAACAATATGAAAACAATCTCATTTGTTAAAACAGAGATTGTCCTATCATCAAAATGTCTTTATTTTTAAAGGCAACATCCTTCTAGAAATTTTTCCCTGAACCTAGAAATACCTTTCAGATTTATACCGTATATTTAAAAAAAAAAAAAAAACTTTAATTTTTGTTTAAAAGTTTTTAACATATACATACATATATGTGTGTGTGTGTATGTGTGTGTATACACACATTCTGTTTAAAAACCAGCAGCTACTTAGTAAAATCATACCTTTCTTACTTCAATTTAGAGTTCATATGTAATACGATTAATATCACCACATAGGAACAAGATAACTCAGCTGAGAATGTGCTTTTATGGATACATGTTAAACTGTTCTCGTTTTTCCAGGTTGTCCAAGAGATTTGAAAGGGTAAAAAGATTTTTTAATACATAGTAAATACTTCTGAAACAGTGAATTAAAATGAAAAACAGATGACACATTTATTCAACTTTTCGCTTCTGTAACATCAAACAGCACATTTTCTTCAAATGGTTTCATCAGCGGACTGGGAACCTCTTAAATTGATTGACTCAAACATGTCACTTATTTGATGATTGGAGGTTTATAAAACAGTCCCTAGTTTTTTTCATCTGCTGACATGTTACATATCTCTCACAATAGATTAAAAGGTAGCATCTAGTCTCATGCTTTCTCTACAGATAATTTTAACTTTTCAACTAAAATGAAGATACAAAGTATGCTAAGAGATGCCTTGCAATTTGGAGTTATTATTTTTATTAGGTTTCTTATTTTAAGACTGATAAAGGTGATTTAAATGCTATCTACAAAAAGAAAAAAACTGAACAATTTACTTTTTCAAGGGTGATATGCAAGCATGCAAACTTAGTCAAAGCAATAGAGGAAAAACAAATGACAAGCATTTGCAATGTGACAGGAAAAAATGGCAAAATCATTATTTTAAGCCAATGCTGAATAAATAGTAAGAAATTACTTTCAATGATGTGATAAATTAGATGTTTTTCCCGAGTTCCAGATACCTTTATAATCTTAGAGACCACAGCAGAGCCAGGACAGTTTACCTACATCTGCTTTAGAGATAAACCTAGTGCCCTCAGATCTCAATTCCTGCTTCCTAAAATACCACGAAGCCCACACCAGGGTACTCAGGTCTGAGAATGCACTTATTTCTGAGAGTGCATATGTCCCTGGAAATCTGTTGATATTTAAATTACAGCACTCTCAGTTGGGTAAAGTTGAAGAGGAACAAAGTATAATCCTCCCTGGAGAAAAACAGAGTGAAAGACCAAAAGCAAAAAACAGATGTCTCCCCAAACATACCAGAAATGAAGTAGGGTATTTAGTCAACTGTACCTTGACCATTTAGCATGAGCCTGAAATGAATACCCTGAGGGGATGTACCAGGTGGGTCATAGTCCTCACAGATGACACACTAAAGCTTGGAGAATGAACTCTCTACAAAGATGTCAGCAGGGAAACTATCCAGGGATGGAACATTCCAGGACAAAGGACAGCAGAGAGCTGTTACACATGAGGTCTGAAGGGTCAAAGGAAGGAATGGTTACCACAGCCCTGAGAGAGTGTGTGCAGAGGATCACTTACTCAACAGGGACTGTGGCTTTGCTAGAGCCCCCCAGCCAGCCCACAGCCAGAAAGAGAATCAAGGAATCAACATCCCAATCCCACTCTCTTCCCAGAACCCTCTGCTCTATCATTGTCAGTCTTGAGAGAGACTAATGAGAAAGCAGAGGGCAGCACCTGGAATCAGTCTCCCTGGCAGACAGTGGACTGGAAGTGCAGTCATAAGATAACCAGTACAGAGCTCTTATTATTTAACAGTGGAGAAGACACATTGCTTAACATTTTGCAAAATGTTATCAGAAACAAACCTTATCAGAAACAAACAAAAAAAGTGTCTTTTTCAGATAGAACATTTGACAATACTCTGGGATTTTTAAAAATACATATGTATACACCCATATACTGAATTATTTTCAAGAGAAAAACAAGTCAAATATAAAACTGTAAATATTTAGATAAAATTATAAAATATAAAAATACATAAAATTATAGATAATTTTGAAAACTGTGCAACCAGCCTCACTTTCTCTACCATTGAGAAATAGAGTATATCCAGTTAAGATATTATAACATATGAGGAAAAGTAAGAGAAGGAGGAGGAAAAAAGTGGGGATGGGAAGACAGATAACCAAAAGGGGAAAAAAAAGATTGAAGCATGGTTCTTTTTATTTTCCTATTTTACCCTGCAATGCAGCCCTGGAAAATGTGTTAACCCTTAGAAGCTGGAATACCTAGATCCCTGAATCTAATAGCTCTCTGGACCATTTTAGAGACAAAAGTTTTTCTTAGGACAAACTGCTATTTCTCACCTTACCTTCTAAACAATCTTAGGAAGAAGATACCTAGAAATATGGAAGTACCATTTTCTAGTTGGTAGGGAATGAGAGACACTGAAAACCTATTTCCACAACACTCTATTTCAGATCTAGATTTCTATTCTCCACTCATGATCCAGCTTTCTTGCCTCCAATATCAATGAGTGAGGCTCCTTTGGAGACACAAGGGATCCCAAGTCATGAGTCATACAGAGATAGACTTTACGTATGCAACCTCAAGGGACAGTTTCTGATGAACTGCTTCCTTTCTTACTTTCCTGACCCTGCCAAGCATTCCCCTACCCGTGCAGAAGATAGTTTACTAGTACAACTGAAAACATCTAAACTAATTCTTCATTGTCCTGTCATGTTGAAAACCAACTTAAGTACATCTTTCTACCTTTCTTCATTCTTTCCTTCATCCTTTCCTCTTTTTAACATGCATTTGTTCTATTGACATTTACTGAGCATCATTTTGCTGCCATTGTGCGAAGATGAGGATACAAAATAATACATCAAGATTCCTAATCTTGAGCAGCATGCAGTGCGGTAAAATACACAGTATCACACTGTCCTTTCTGACACTTCTGGAACACAACAGAACATATATGGTACACATGTGCACCATAGGCATAAATACATATGCATGGTTTTAGATATACATAGTCTAAGTATGAAATACCTCCAGTCCCTTGGGAAAAGATCCTCCCCCACTTACCACGCTCTCTTCTGGCATCCTTCCTATATCTCCTGATCTCTCATTTCAACAGGTTTTTAAGAACTGAACATATGTAAGGATGCTGAAGCCCACTCAGAATGGGAAACACATAAGTTCGTTCCTGGATGAGGGTTAAGAGTGGTAGGAGTTGGTAATCAGCTCTAGAAGAAACAGAAGGAAGTAAATAAAAGGTTGATATATGGAGATGAAATTATAAAGATGTGGTAAAAACTGAAGACTAAGATTCCCTTCAAAAAATATTTTATATCTTTCTAATATTTCTTTCACTAAAATGTAATCCTCTAGAAACAAAGAGACCTAAAATTTAATCTTTAGAACAAAATTTCATAAGGACAAATAATATACAAGAAAGTTGTTTCATTGTGTAGTTATTTTTTCCCTAAAGTACCTGCTTTAAGACAGAACACATATTTGCAGAGCCATTAGAATCACCTGGGGAGCTTTAAAAACTATCAGGTCCAGGTCCAAACCAGACCAATTAGACTAAAATCTTTGGGGTCAGCCCAAGCATCAGTATGGTTTCAAACTCCCCAGTTGATACTACGTGTAGCCATGGTCATAAGTAATAAATATATATTTAGACATATGATTATGTGTTACATGCCTATTATCTTTTAGTAAAAGAAAATTCTCAGCTATGTTTTGTTTTTGATAAGTCGTTGTCAATAATTTATTATAATAATCTATAGCTATAGCTTTAAAGTCTTTTAAAACTAAAGATATTTAGGTTTTTGATATTATATAATTTTGAATAAAATATAGAAGATTTAATGCTTAATAATAAAATGAGCCACCTAGAAATATAGCAATGTCTTTTTAGGCAGACAGAGCTAAGACCAGAATAATGAGGCAAAGTTTTTATTCAAGCTACTACCTCCCACCCACATACTCTTTTTCCTCTTCTAGCCCATGCTTGGAGTCTATTGTAGAGAAATTAGTCTAGCAATTTTAAATCCAAGTAATGTTGACTTAGAGGAACTCTAAAGTCTCCTTCATCTAAATTGTCAATAATTTCATAGCTATGTTTCCTTTTCATTCATTTTAGTAAGCAGTGCAAGTCACTGTTTTTGAGTCCATTCACACAATTTAGGCAACAGTGACTAAGCTAGGCTTGTGCTGTGTGCAGCACAGCTACTGAAATAAGGAGGAGATTAGTCTTTAGAGGTATGCTTACAAGGTATGGAAACCCAGATTAGCTCTGGCATATAAACTACCAAAAATGTTCTTGTTAACTGGGCAACATATTTTCAAAAGGTGCAGAATCCACTTTGTTTCTATCACTTGTCAGAGTTAAGCATAAACAATGTACAAACAAATAAACTGTGCCAGTATAAAATGTAATACTTGTTTATGAGACACTTCCAGAATCTGACAGTGGCCCTCTGTTAACAATATTTAGGCCATAACTATATTGGCCAAATTTTACCAAAAAAAAAAAAAAAAATTCTGAAGCTTCTGGTAATGTTAAATAGCTTTATAACTTTCCTTATATCTCGTTTCTAATCTCAGATTAAATCAGACCAGAGTTATCAATTTTAATGATCATAATGTCACACTAAGCAAAAAGATGAATAAGATGAATAAACTAAGAACCTGTGTATATTGTAAGCTAACATTCTCTTAATCCCGGACTCTCTATCCTTTGGAATTTTATGAACCAGTAAAACATCTCCAAAAACGTTAAAAATTAAAAAAGAAAAAAAAAAGTTGCCATTTTTTTTAAAATTTTGCCAAGGAAGGACATTAAATGAGGAGAATAAAACCAGATCCACTATTATAATTACATCATTATATCATGTAACACTAAAAGAGGAAGTATAGACTCTGTCAATAAAGGATGGTTCCGTAAAAATAGTACACTTAATGAAATTTTTATCATTTTCTTGAATATCTAATTTCACTACAATCCAGTGAAAATGTCATCAGAGATCAGCCTGGGTCCACTGACTGGTACTCGGGAGCCATTGTTCTCAGGGTATTCGTCTAGACTCCTGCCTAGTTTCCTGGAAAATTCTGCCTGCAATCTCATTCATACCTGGGCAGAGATTCCCCTTCTGGTCCTTTCAAAGGGCAACTAGCGTATTCATGACAAATCTGGAAGGAGTACTTCTCCATCCAGTTTAGAAATCACAGTTTTACCAGAGCTTGCAAAAATGTTGGCAAACAGCAAAACAGTCACTTTCCTCAAAAATACAATGTATATGAAGTCACAGTCCTGTTTGTTTCCAAGTAAAAGCTTTGGCAGCAACCAAAACAAAGAACCTGATTCCTGTGAATCAGAAAAAGAACTTATGGCCTGCCAGTCTTGTAAGCTCAGAGTTTTCCACATTGCATGTGATTTTATAGATTTAGCTAAAGTATAGCAAGATTGCTTTATCTTACAAGAGCATTTATTACCTGATATTCAGGACAATAGGAATAAAAATTACCTTGTTCATTTTCTAAAGTCACAATGGTATAAGACTGATCTGCCATGACTGAGATAGATTCAGTACCACATAAATTTTCTTCCCCAAGTGGGCAGGATATCTGTAAAATTACCCAATGATCCTGTTTTCTGTTATTACAATGACATTCAGATAGTTTATTCTAAAGCCAATACTTATTTGAAAATTCTGGAAACCAGTCATTTGATGCCATTTGAAACATTGAGAACATCCTACAAAAGATTTGAACCATAGATTTTAAGTTAACTGTAAATTAACTAACTTAATTATAAACAAACTTTTATTTATTTTAGTTTTTCATTTATTTCAGTTTTTTAAAAATTTAAGTTTTTCTTAACAGTACTCTCACATTTGGTAAAAAGAAAACATAGCTTTATTAGTCTGTTAATCATTATGTCTTTCTTAATCGATCTGTTTCTGCTCTTTTTCAACCATAATCTCAAAACCATAGATGCATTTCAGGGGATGATGGTGCCAATACACAAGAGAATGTCCCCGAATTTTCTATACCCCATATTCATGGTGATCTGGAACTTTAACTACTTTGAAACCATTTACAAAGAACTGAAGGACCACACAAAATGGTTCATACTGAAAAAATCTTGCAGGTTGTTTTTCTCCCCAACGTTAAAGGTACAACTCAAAATAATGAGAGGACAGGAACATAAAATGGAAATTCTTAAAAGGACTCTGAACAGGCAACAGGAAGAACTATGCAATCAAAATAAGTAATAATTGAATTTAAGGTGCTTTAGCTAGCTGCAACACAAAAATTATGAATAAATAATTAAAATTAAAATTGAATCAGTCAATTTAAAATTTTTTATTTGAAATCCAAATCAAAGTTTTGTAGTAAGGTACTTCACCTGGAAAAAGAGTAGCCCAGGTTTAAAATGTTTTAGTAAACAAAGACCTTGTCTTAGTTCATTTGTACTGCTATAAAAAGTACCCAAGACTGGGTAATTCATAAAAAAAAAAAAAAAAAAAAATATTTTTCACAGTTCTGAAGGCTGGGAAATCCAAGATCAAGATGCCAGTAGGTTTGGAGTCTGGGAAGGGCTTTTTCTCTGCTTCCACCATGGCATTTTGTTACTGGGTCTTCTGGAAGGGACAAACACTGCGCCCTAACTTGTGGAAAGTTGAAAGGGCAAAAAGGGGCTACTTGATTCCCTCTAACCATTTTATAAGGCACCAATTCCATCCAAGAGGGCAGAACCCCCAGGGTTGAATTATATCCCAAAGACCCCACCTCTTAATAATATGGCATAGGGGATTTAAGTTTTAGTGTGAATTCTGGAGAGGGCACAAACATTCAAATAATAGCAGACCGTCTCTACTGTCCACCCTAAACAAGAATCAAGCCAACAAGCATCAGTGTGCCTCAGTCAAATAGAAGCTATGAAGAGGAACCTTCAGAATGGTACTTACATTTGGCCTACTTTACACTCTTTTTCTTCTATCCCAGTTGTTATTCCCAACATTCCTTACTTCTGTGATTGGATGAAATGCAATTTTAGCGAACTAGCCTACGAAGAATAATTTAATGTTGATTCATGCAGTATTTTATATTTTCAATATTTGAAATGCAAATTTAGATTTGAGAAATTTAATTAATTACACTGTGTATCAGAAAGACATATACAATCACCTAAAAGAAATGTTTTTCCAAGTTCTGCAAGATTTGATTGTATTTGAAATAACCATATCAACAAAAATAAAGTGTGCATTCAAAAATGGTCCATCAAAAGATTTAAAGAAAAAAGTCACAGACATATATTGATAGAGCTAACCAACTCTGTATATGAGCTGGTAGGGCTAACCAGCTCTGCATAAGTATTTCTGGCAGATACTTAGCCAAAAACTTTGAACCATCTTTTTCTTTTTTTTTAAGTTTAACCTTCTTATTTTAATGTATTTTTTATTTTGCCATAATTTTGGGGGTATTGGGATACAGGTAGTATTTGGTTACATGAGTAAATTCTTTCGTGGTGATTTGTGAGATTTTGATGAACCCATCATTCAGGCAATATATACTGCGCCAAGTCCCCAAAGTCTCCAAAGTCCCTTGTATCATTCTTATGCCTTTGCATCCTCATAGCTTACCTTTCATATATCAGTGAGACCATACAATGTTTGGTTTTCCATTCCTGAGTTACATCATTTAGAATAACAGTCTCCAGTCTCTTCCAGGTCACTGAAAATGCTGTTAATTCATTCCTTTTTATGGCTGCATAGCATTCCATCATATATATATATATATGTATCTTATATATATTATATATATATATCATATATATATAAGATATATATATA